ATATAATAAAGTAGTTTTTCTTTATAATAAGTTTGCTTTCAAATGGTTTGTGATGAAACTCCTTCTCTGCTTTGAATCGAGCGAGATGAAATTTATTTATAAACAAAAATGCATTTTCCAAGTCTTGAGTCACGTGCGATGTGATTGTGAACAAAAGTTAAAAAAAAAAAAAAAAAATTTCGAAACATTATACACGTTTTATGAGTCTTGTTGTCTATATCATAAACATTAGTGCGTAAAAGATGTCAATAAAAATTCATAGCTAATTCAATGTGCTGTAAAGATGTTTACGAAATTCGTACGATGTGAACAATTTATTTTAAAAAACTCGTCCGGTTAATGTACTGGTATGCGTATATTATTTTATTGATACTTACTTTTCACACATTCAAGTGCTCGAATGCGTAGGTATGGATCGGCTTCCATTCGATAAAACACCTATCTCCGATCTGCAGCAGCATGATACACGAAAAAAATTTGATCATCAGTTTTGTCATGAAGCACGATCGTTACGCGGTTTCTAATTTTATCGCTAGAAGCGAAACAATAGGCGTGGTTTCACCGAAGAATATTCGTCGGTTGAATAAACGATTGATCACCGCATGTGGTATTTTTCTCGTCTGATAATGCGCGCTGTGACAACGTCTCCTGTTGAAGCAGAATCACTACGTTTTTTTTAACAAAATTTTGCGTAAAAACGATGGAAATTTCGTCTTACAACTACTAATTACATTTGTGGCTTCACTGATAATTTTCGGCCAGTCCTAATAAAACTTGAAATAATCACTCGTCTAATAGCAAAGAATTGATTAAAAAATACTTAATTTGAACCCAATTAGGTGCAACAGTGTAAACGCCGATACTCCAATATTTTTTATTTAAGCATTATTTTTTTTGGCAGTCTTATTTAACTGTACGGTATTGCCACCGCAGAAAACTTTTTTTTTTATCGATGGTAATTAATTTTATTTTTATAAAAATTATCAATGATAATTTTCGNAATAAAACTGTCTCGATCATTGTAATAACGATCGTGCCTCATGTGACGCGGCGTCTTTTTTTGCACAATAAACGCCGCTTAAATCTATCATCACTGCTTTGGAGGCTTTTAAATGTACGAAAATGATGCAACCATATGAAAATTACCTACCGATGCATGAAAGTGTATATTTATATTCGAGCACTTTGCCACCAGTGAAATTGTGATATTATAAAAAACTGGACGTTTTATTAACAGCAGTAACATAAAGATAACCCATACACGGGCACACTTGAATTAATTTCTTGCACATTTTTCCGAGGCAATCGGCCAAAGTCAGCACGTGCTTGCTACGAATGAAATAATGGAGATAAAAGTAAAAAAGTAACAAAGAAAGTATAATAAAAGATTGTACGTCATGGATGAGCAGTCAAGTAGAGCACCAAATACCCGGGAATTTGGAAAAAAAAAAAATTTATTTAAAAATAAAATGATAATCCTTATCTCAAGATGCTTGACTCCCTTATTTCGAAACACACGCGAAACGAATGTGCTAACGATCGCGAAGGATTTCCCAAGATACGTAAACTAGTAAGAAGGGGAACCGGTGCGGGTGCACAAGACCAAGTAGTCCCATGTACTCACGCAAATTATATTTATTTTGTCTACCCTGACCACGACGAGCAGCTTCCTGGTCTCGTTTCTGGTGGACGCGAGGGGAGGCGCGATGCGCGGCTGCCGGCACAGCGGGGTGCGGATCATCGTGCCCCCGCGCAAGGCGACTATGCCCATGAGGGTCACCTGCCGGTACCTCAAGAGGGACAAGCTAACGAACCCACCGCCCCTCATGGAGGGCGAGGCCCTGGCCAGCCGGATACTCGAGCTCGGGCCCGTCGGGGCCAAATTTTTAGGGTATACCTACTATACACCTCGTCGCACAATAATGCCACACAAATGATGATAATAATAATAATAATAACAACAACATGTCGCAAATGACAACGCGCGTTGCAGGCCCGTGATCATCGAGGTGCCGCACTTTGCCTCCCTGCGGGGCAAGGAGAGGGAGATCGTGATCCTTCGCTCGGACAACGGGGAGACCTGGCGCGAGCACACCCTCGAGGCGAGCGAGGAGGCCGTGCAGGACGTACTCAACGAGAGCTTCGAGGGAGAAGGTACGTATATAGAACCTATACCCATCCGTATTTGCCGCCCGTGCGGTTAATCATCCGTTTGGTCCTCCTTTCAGAGCTAAGCCAACTCGAGGATCTGCAAACCTCGCGCATCGTGCGAGTGCTGACGGTCGACTTTCCCCACTACTTTGCCGTTGTCTCGCGCATCAGGCAGGAGGTCCACGCGGTCGGGCCCGAGGGTGGCACGGTCTCGTCCTCGGCGGTGCCTCAGGTCCAGGCCATATTCCCCGCTGCGGCCCTCACCAAGAAGATCCGAGTCGGACTGCAGGTACGCGTAACGCGTGCCTTATATGTATATAACACGGCACATCATGCGACCGGTAACCATCGTTATAACTAATAATGGGTCGTGTGTACGTAGGCCCACCCCATACCGGCGGAGCTCGTGGCTAAGCTGTTGGGCAACCGAGTGGCGGTGTCGCCTATCGTGACGGTCGAGCCGAGGAGACGCAAGTTCCATAAGCCGATCATACTGACGATACCGGTGCCCCAGGCGGCCAACAAGGGCATGATCAACCAGTACTCCGGTGACGCGCCGACCCTCAGGCTCCTTTGCAGCATAACTGGTAATATAAAAACTTGCACCAAATCCCCTCTCATATAAATGTACTTATTTCGTACTTGTAATATAAAATCCCTCCACGATATATTTTTCGTATACATTCAAGTTTCGGTTTTTTTTCTTCTCTCTCTCTCTCTCTCTCTTTCCATACTTATACCTCTACGTATATAATTATACATATATGTTATATTATTTATTATACGATGATTCCATTAAACTGAACCCATCATTATACATAATTATTATATTGTCTATACATGTATCTTGTTATGATTCATTGTTAATGCTTGCGTATTGTTAGGATTGAGTCATTTAGGTATGCATCATTACTTAAAGTAGATTTTTTTTAAAAACTTTTTACTGTTTACTAAGTATAGCTTCATTGTAAGCTCGAATTTCCTTTCTCTCTACAGCACATTTATATATTACATTTAACGAACTATTTCGTACTGTTTTCTGTTTGCTCGTAACTCTGTACTCGATGAACTTTCTTTTTTTTTTTTTTACTACGTTTTCTCCTTAAATTACTTAAACAATGATTATGTACACTCTTGTTTTTTTTGTTTTTGTTTTTTCCTCCAATACATGTAATATTTTAAAGCTGAATTATGTTCTATCTGAGCACACTCCAATGCCACACCCACACCCTCTGTACTTATAAGGAAAAATTGTATGATTATCTCAATGGCATTCTTTTACTTCAACTTTCATGATTTCTTGGCTAACAGGCGTCATTTATTCAAGCCATAAGATTTGAGTAATGACACGATATACGCAGCTTATTTTTTATACACGTATACAAACACGCATTGATTTACGTACGTTTTACAAGGCGCATAAAATTATTTCGCAAGCATTATCAGTTGAATACAATCGATTGTTTTATTGTCATTGTTATTAGTTGACCAAAAGTACAAGGCACGCGCCGACAGGCACATTTTCTCACCAAACTCTTTTTTTTTTTTTTTTTTCTTTCAATACCAAACAAAAGTCGAAGAGTGACTGAAAAGTTGTCCTCGCTCATGGTTTCAGCAAACACGCAAACAAACGTACGAACGAACAAATTTAATAAATCAATTTACGAGTTGAAGAAAAAAAAAACCAAGTTGCAATATGTAAAGATGCCACATGATCGAGGACAATGATGAGAAAGGCGTAATAAGATATGTTTAGAGCTGTATGGCAAATAGGGTGTAGGCGAGCATGCTCTACCCCATAAGCACGGACGTATTCTAATAATTCGATTGGACTTGGCATGTATGTCGTTCAGGGGGTCAGTCACGGGCGGTCTGGGAGGACGTAACTGGCTCGACTCCTTTGACCTTCGTCAAAGATTGCGTCTCGTTCACGACGACAGTGTCGGCTCGCTTTTGGCTGATGGACTGCCGGAACATATCGGAGGCCACGAAAATGGCCACTGAGCTCTACACGCACGCGACCCACGTACCTTTCATGGCCAAGTACGAGCCTTTGGTTTTTTCTTCATCTACAATATATTGTTACACATTTTGAAAAAGTACCATCCAAACGTATAAACATTTGTTTTGCAGATTCGTTGTTTTTGCCAAGCGCGTCGATACCTCGGAGGCGAGGTTACGGGTGTTTTGCATGACGGACGACAAGGAGGACAAAACCCTGGAGCACCACGAGCACTTTACCGAAGTGGCCAAGAGCCGCGACGTCGAGGTATACTGTCCCCGGCACGAAAAATACAAATGGAAATGCATGTAGTTACTTACTCTGTTGTTCCCCCCCGTAAGGTTCTCGAGGGTAAAACCCAGTACATGGAGTTTGCCGGAAACCTCGTGCCAGTGCTCAAAAGCGGCGAACAGCTGCAACTGCCCTTCCGAGCGTTCAAGGAAAACAGAGTACCCTTCACAGCCAGGGTCAAAGATCCCGATGCAGCCGACATGATGGGCAGGATCATGTTCATGAGCGAGCCCAAGATTCCGAAGGGCGAGCCTCCGCAAATCCCACTTTGCACGCTAAACATCCTTTTGCCCGAGAGAATCTCCCCCGTGACCGGCAACTCGGAACTCGATTTGCTTCAAGTTTCGAAAAACTGTAGCTTCGCGCGAAACGGCGGACTGAGTGAGTGATCGGCACCCAACTGTCTTCGTGTTTTTTCGTCACTGTCATTAGAATGATATGGTGGTCATTTATGATGATGAATCAACAGGTAGACCGGACTCGATACACCGGGCGACGATACGCCTGACGGACATATCGAATTTGATCGACAAGGACTGGGAGAAGCTCGCGCAGGAGTTGAACGTTTCGGCCAGCGCGATTAGCAAAATAAAGGAGGAACACCCCAACAATGCGGCACAACAGGCCAGCGCCATGTTCAAGGCTTGGCAAAATGACGGGAACAAAGCTACCGGTAAGCTGTTTTGTTTCGTTACTATTATAAGTATAATCATTGCGTATGCACGGGAAATCGGCAACAGGTATATCTTTATTTTCTCGTTGTGGGCTGTATTGTCAAGAGCGCAGTTGTTTATTGATTAGCAAAAGACTACGGTTTTACACATGTATAGGTACACGTAAATGCAACAAACCGATTATATACATGTATATGAATGAAAAAACCTGTTTGCGCGAAATGCGTTGCAAGACGATACGATCCTGTACTATAGCCTAGCCAAACATGACTAAGACCTGTGGAATCTGTTTCGAGACGCACTTCATTATCATGAAAATAATAATAGCATTAATAATAATAATAACAATGACGATAATGACGATGAGGTCGGTGATGTCAGCATAGGCTGTTAATATGCTGCTTAGCAAGAAAAATACTTACCGTCCGACTCTCTCCCTCTCTCTCTCTGTCTCTTTGTCGTTCCCTCTCTCCTTTATTCTTGCGTGTTCACTAGCCTTTTCCATGCTATAATCAGTGAAAAGACCGCCAACGCCTCAGTGGTTGAACGAGCTAGTCTGCCGACGAGAACAGCCGAGAGACGGTGCCTATACTTACGATACGTACGCGCGGATATCGCAGTTGCATTTACGACATTGAGTTTCTAGCCGGGCCTCACGATGTTTATTTCGCTGTATCAAGAGTATCTGACCCAAACAGATCCGGTCGTCTACAGGAGTGAATTAATGGTGTTGTTTAGGCGACCTTCGGCCTCTTTGGTACAAACCGATCGTCCTCCCGAAGGTCTGTTGTCTCAATCTATCATTCATACAAGCTCAATTCCTTGGAATTTACACTTATTTCACCAACATCGAATATATTTATCATCTACATCTATTTGAATATCTCGTGCGAGAAAGAATATACTTACTGACCTTTCGGTAATACGTTATGTGCGCCCTTCCGTTGATTATTTATTCGTAATGCTGATTTTCCTCAGCTGTTACGACTGTTTTTTACCAACCAGGTTTAGTACATGGCGTACATTCAGTTATTTATCATGGCCGTTGAACTTATTTCGAAAAAGTTTCTACCATAAATTATGTTATTTGTTCACTATTTTTATCGTTATCGTTAACTGCTTTTTTTTCTTTCCATATACCGATGATAAATATTAGGCCCGAGGGTTCTTGCAGGTAATACGCTGGAAAAAGCACTGAACAAAATTGGTCGTGACGACATCGTTGAAAAATGCATTTTTAACGTCGAATTGGTGACCGATGACGTTGAAAAGGCCGTTGCTCGTGTCAGGTTGGATCAACCTGGTTTCGACAATCTCAAGGAAGAATTGGGTCCATCGAGAAACACGTCTCTTAGAAGAGACACAACGATGGATCCCAAAATGGATCCAGAATATGAAGAACCAGATAGAATGAAGGTAAGTCGGCTTCAATACATCCAACTAAATTTTTCCGTTTATTTCTTCATAGTGAATTGTAGTAGAGGTAGCACAAGTTGAACATGAAAATCAACACGAAAATTAAAGTCACTTAATATCGAATGCATCCAAAGTAAAATTATCTCGTTGATTTTTGCTACGTCATTCGAGCCCCTGTAGTAATTTTATTTCATTTTATTTTTAAGCCTATTAATGCATGTCATTTTTTTTATGCAGGATTCTGAGTCCGTAGAGGAACTCAACATCAGTGCTCCAGGACATAAAACAAGTAAGTTATACTTTGAATTACCATCAAACGCTACTAAATCGCAAATACTAAAAAATCATCATTTAATTGCCCAAAAATTGATAATTTCAAAGTTCTACTACGTGTATTAATTCGACACTAGCGTTAAAGCCATGCTGTTGGCGCTAGTATTCGGAAGGGTACACGTGTTTTAAGTGGAATTTGGTATCAAAGTTCCAATTTCTGACGTAATGTGCACATGGCGATTGCCAAATCAAAAGAATGTTGATTACGTACCATAGAGAATAGTAACGCATATACTTAAGTTATACCTTACTTAAATTTTGGCCGTATTTTTTTAACAGATGAACAACACATGACAAATGGTACTGCTTACACCGCCACATCGACTCCTATCAAAGACAAATATGCCGGCGATGAGAAAGAGCTTGGAGATGTTATGGCTGATATTATTGAGCAGAAAAGTCACGCTTCCGATACAATTGTGAAGAAATCACATGATGAAGTCGATGATTATAACAAAAAACGAGAAATGATTTATGAAGATGCCAAACAACTAGTTTCTGGTAAGCAATACAAATAAACAATAAAACATCAGTATTACAATTAGTTAACAGGCTGTCCGCTTAATCTTAAAAATTTGCAACAATATCAAATAGTAATACCCAATATTAAAATTTTTAGTATTAAAATTTACCACTAATGGTTCATCAAAATCACGTTGAAAGTTATTTTTTATTACTATTTGATGTTATTACTTAATATTTCAAAATGACTCCACTATTTCTGCTAAAGCTTTCTTTTAATTTAACCTATTAATATTATTAATATATTTAAAACTGTGAAGGCACAGGTTTCTGGAAGCAGTCGCAGGTCTCTTCAATACTTTGCTTCATAAACAAAAAACAGCAGATAAATCATTGTACACTGTAATTGAATTCTCTTGACATACTAAATATTTTCCATAATGTTTCACCTATTTTCGCAGCAAATAATTTGTTTCAGTGAATTATCATTTTTAAACCAAATAGCGCTGTTGCATGCGAATACAGTATACATTTGTGTCGACACGTGAAGCAGCTATCAATTAACGCACATATTCAACAAGCTAATATAATAAATTTTGTTTTGTCCCCGTTGGAATCCGAATAGTGATTAAGAAAAAAAAAAAATGTTTTAATCCCTAAAAGGTAAACATTGAAAAACCTGATTGAATTTCGTAAGCGACAAAAATCGACTACTATGAAAAGAGTTCCTGTTCGAAAGCTATTCTGATTCCAATTTCAAATTAAAACTTGACTCTCTAATCATTTGTTATTCTCCCATTAATTTTATTAATGCTATCACAATTTCAAGCATGTCTTATGTATAAAATTATATACATGATAAACGCAGCTCCAAATTGTTTAAATGTTTAATGTAAGAAGGATTTTCATTATAATTATTAATCTCGTCATTTCGCATCGTTGTAAAATTGTAACTTATTTTATAAGCTAATGCCATGAAAAAGGCTTTGTTCATCATCATTGTACTATCTTGTAAATGGCAAGCTACATTTTCGTTAACCATGGCGGTAACTACTGCACAGCATATCTATACTATACACATATTTATGTTTTCACACTTTGCACAAAATTTGTGTAAAAGTCTAACAGACATCATCACAAGAGCAGCGATCGAGAACAAACATCAGCTTATACTAATGAATACAGACTGAGAAAACATGATCATAATAATGATTCTGTATTTTAAAGTCGATGTTGGAGTAGCTAAAATTTTTAAAATTAATCAACAGGTGTTAAACACGACGCTGAGAAAGAGACAAGCGAGTTGTTAACAAAGGAAGGGTGGTCGGTGGTTTTAAGTGATGACTATGTTGATGTGCAAAAAAATCCCGAGGTAAGACATGTTTTGAAGCAACAGAAACATTTAGTGCCGGACACAACTAGCGAATTTGTTGATCAGCCGCAATACACTTTAGAAAGTAATCGCGATCGCTTGAGCCGAACGATAAAGATCGAAAAAATCGGGAACGATGAAAAAGATTACGATACTACCGATTTTGTTGACGTTGATAATGAACGTGCGGGCAAAGAACATGCTTTGAAAGATCACAAATCAGTCGATCCATCGAAGCAACAGAAACCATCAGCTGGCCCTAAAAACGAAGTGTCTGGAGATGCTAGGCAATTGCCAGATTCGCAGAGTAAAAGTAAAAAGGATAAAGATAAATCAAACAGTAAGTTTTCTGGGATGTTCAAATTAGAAAAATCTAAAAAAAATAAATCCCAAGATTCGACAGAGAAACCCTTGGATCGAAGTGATGATGATTTGAAATTAGCTACGGCTAGATTTTTGGATGACATGAATAAAACTTCGAGTCTTACGACACTTGACGAAAAATTGTCCGCAGGAACGACAGATTCACGATCAGAGGCGTCGAGAAATGAGAAACTTGACGACGGTGATCGTAAAGAAAAGAGCACAGGGTTCTTAAATAAATTCATAGGTTCCCCTAAGAGTAGTCCAAGAAAAAAAGGCTCTTCTCATGACTCATCGCACCGAAGTGATGGTGGTAATGATGAAAAGACGCAAAAATTTACTTCACCAGTTGGCCACAGCACTCAAGAACATGCTAAAGTTTTTGATAATCCTGCTTGGAAAAATATTGATTTGATCGACGCAAATATTGAAGAACAGCCACACACAATTCGAGAAACTAACGATTTTAGTGGCAGTAGTAAAGAAAAAATTTCTAATGTCAACGATGAACCTGAAAAAAGTGAAGCATCAAATGAAACGAAAAATAGTGAAAAGGGGGGTGGTTTCTTGAATATATTTAAAAGTCCTAAGACGAAAAATAAAAAACCAAATATTAAAGATGCAAGTGATTCAAAAGATATCAAAGCCAATGCTGCTGAAAAAGAAACTAGAGTTTTAACTAATAAATTTTTACAAGATACGAAAAATTTTTCGGATTTGCTTGATGAAAATCAATACAATCCTGCTGATAAAATTTCACCAAAGATTACAAAAAACAATGGAAAACCTGAAGATTCAAAGACCGAAATAGTTAGTGAAAATCAGTATACTAGTGCTGATAGTAAAATTTCATCTAGAAATACAGCAAGTCCAGCGAAATCTCATGACCCAAAGACTGAAGCCGTTAAAAATTTTGACAAAAATTTTACAAGTGAAAGTAAAGTGACCGCAAAGCCAAAAAGTAATAAAAATGATTCATTAACTGATCCTGGGAGCAATAAAGCTGCAAACGAGGAAGACATAAAAACAACAACCAGTAAATTTCTTGAAGACAGTAAAAATATTGCTGGTGTAATTGATGCTTGCCCATATAAATCTGTTTATTTGTATAAAACTCCATTAGTGATCGAAAAGAATGTGAAGCAACAGAAAGATAATAAAACGGTTAATGATTTACCAATAAACAAAACCAGCGCCCAGCTGGGAGATGAAAAAACAAAACAAAAGAAGGGTAATTTTCTTTCGGAAATTTTGAAAAGTACTACAGAGGACGTAAGAGAATTTGCAGATGAAACAAGAAAAGATGACATTGAAGAAGAGAAAAAAGCAAGAGAGAATGTTAAAAAACAAAAAGAATCCAAAAAATCCGCTAAAGTGACTGCCGAAAAAGACAATTTACACGGTAAAAATTTAAAAACTAATGAGATCGTTGATGTTGAATCAAAATCCAAAGAAACAGCACCTGACGCAAAATTACATCAAGAAATTTCAGTAAAACATCCAAAAGGAAGTGAAAAAACTGACCGGAAAAAAATTGAGAAATTTGAAATTCCTATCGATAATGTTGAAAAAGTAGATACAGCATCAAAAAGTGGAGCAAATAAAAAAAAAACTGGATTTTTCACGAATATTTTAAACAGTGTTACAAATACTGCAGAAGAAGTATCAAAAGATGAAATACAATTTGTGGAAAAGAGAGAGGGAGAAATAATTGAAGAAGAAAAAATGGCTTCTCTTAAAGATAATGAGAATTTTGTAGGTAAAGTTGTTGATGTTCAAGAAAACTCGAGGAGAAAAAATAAAAAAGACACCAAAAAAACAACAGAAAAGTTAGTTACTGATAATGATAAAAGTAAAAAAGAAAATATTAGTGATGAGACACAAACAAATTTGAAAAAAAAAGTTGAAAAAACTGATAAACAAGAAGAAATAAAACCAACAGCTACAAGTGACCCAATCACAGTCACGAAAGAGTTTTTAGATGATATGAAAAGCAACATCAACATTGAACCCTTGGAGGCTTTAAGTGACAAGTCCTTAGAAGCTCCAGTTCATGAAGAACAAAAAGATAATGCGTCAGCAAGTAGTGCTCTGAATAAAGGTATTTTAAAAAATAAAGATAAAAAACACTCCTCTAAAGCACAAGTTGACGAAACTCGACATAAATCCAGAAAACAACAAGAAAAGTCAAATCATGGTAACCCTGGAGAAATACCAGAATCTGGAAAAAACACAGAAGAAAAGAAAGATATGGAAGTTCAAAGTGCAAAAGCTAAAAGTTCAGTTAGTGATTTTCTATCTGGCATTTTCAGTGGCCCACAATCGCACGACAAAGAAAAGTCTAATGAACAATATCAGGATGCTGATGTAAGAGCAATACCAAAGAAAACCGATGAAAAAATAGACTTTGAAAATCATTGGACTGAAGTCAATCTTGATAATCGTTCAGGTTCAGTCGATTCGAAAGAAGAAAAACCAAAAAAGAAAAAAGAAAAATCCGGCAACTTCTTTTTAGAAGTTCTTGAAGACTTAAAACAAGCAAGTAAAGAAGCTGCTGCGGATGCAGAAAAAGAGCTCGCTTTTGATGGGCAACAAACAAAATTAACAGGGTTAGAAAAAAAAGAAAAAAATATTAAAGAAAGAACAGTTAAAAATCCAAAGTATGGTAACAATAACATCAACACTGAGGATAAAAGTCAGCTTGAAAAAACAGATCAAAATTTACCCATGGATAAAAAATATACAGTGACTAAAGAAAAAATTAAAGAGATATTCAATGATAAAGAAGGTAACGGCAAGAACCAAAAAGATACATTAAATAGCAATGCCTTAACATTATCCAATAATGTTGAGAATGAAGTTATAAATGTTGAAAAAAATTTTTTCAAAAGAACTCCAGAAGTGGCAAAAAAAAACAACCATACAGGCTCTGGAACTTCTAAAAGTGAAAAACATACAACTGACAATATTATGGATGAAGTAAAAGTATTTGAAGATGAAACCAATCAAAAAGCTCTTGAAGATAAAAAACAAATGAAAGATTTTGCTCAAAAAACGATTGATAATGCTGAGAAATTGAGGGACAATAACCATAGTGACAAAGTAAAGGTAGATAAAAATTTAAAAATCAAAGATAAACATAAAGATACTTTCACAGAAGTTACTAAATTTATTGAGACAGAAGCTATGGATATTACTGGACAAAAACCTTTGGGAGAAATGCAAAAAGCCGTAGATGACGCTGTATCACCACCAAGAAACAAAGCGGATAAAAGTAAAGGATTTTTAGCTAGTATTTTTAGAAATACTAAGCATCCAACTCAAGACGCCGAAGGAGGTGATTTCAAACATGATGAATCTAAAACTGGAGCCATTGAGAATGAAAAAAAATTAATCAATAAAGGAAAAGGTGGTAATACTGTACATGCAGATGTTGAAAGTCTCGGTAAAAAAGATTTGGAAGTTCATGTAGATAAAGACTTACCAACTATTCGTAGTAACGATAACATTGCAGAAAACGTAAAGGGTGTATACTCCGATTTAAAAAATGTCGGTATGCATACTAGGGAGCAAATAAAAAATGCTGCCGCAGAAATATCTGTAAATTTGGAAAAAGAAGCTTCTGACGCTAAGCATGACACTTCTAAAGAAGTTACAGAAATAGCAGAATCTGTTGTTTCCGCAGCTAAAAAAGAAAAAGACAAAAGTAAAGGCTTTTTGTCTAGCATTATCGATACTGTAAAACAAACATCTCAAGGTGTAGCTGATGAAGTAAAGGAGTTTTCTGATGATACGAAAAAAGAAACACTTGATGAAGAAAAGAAGTTGGTGAAAGAAGCTGAAGAAAAAATCAATTCTGCCAAAAATGAGGTTGCTGACAAAGTTAGCCAAGTATTATCTGATGTAAAAGGCAAGGGCAAGCAGAGCAAAGACAAAATTAAAAGCAAAGCAACAGAAGTATCTGAAAGCATAGAAAAAGAAGCTAAGGATTTGCAACATAAAACATCGAAAGGAATCCAAGAGGCAACCGATGCTTCCGTTTCTACGATAGAAAAGAAAAAAGATAAAGGTGCAGGATTTTTATCTGATATTTTTGGCCGTGGAAAAAATAAAACTGAAGATATAGTGGATGAAGTAAAAAGTGCTGTTGATGAAGTAGAACAAAATGCTCGTAAAGTTGAAAGAAACACGAAAGACTTTGCCGAAAAAGTAATTAAAGATGCTGGAGCTATGGGCGACAGCATCAACGAGAAAGTTAGCAGTGATAAAATCAAAGATGGTAGTAGTTTAGAGACGAAACCCAGCCATACTAAAATTTCTGATTCAGATGATAATGTTAAAAACGAGGGTGAAAAAGCTACGGAAAAAATTGAACACAACATCACAGAAATTTCAAAATTTATTGAGAACGAAGCCATGCATTTTGATGAAAAAACTTTTGACGAAATCCAGAAACCATTAGACTCTACCATTCTGGCGACTGAAAAGAAAAAAGATAAGGGCACAGGATATTTCTTCAAAATATTCAGAGGTTCTAAGCATCCATCTCATGACGCTGCTGACGATTTAAAAGACGTTTCCGATGAAACTCAAATCAAAGATATGGAGAATGTAAAAAAGTTAAGCGATCAAGGGAAAGAAAATACTGTACATGCAGATATTGAAAGTCTCGGTAAAAAAGATTTGGAAGTTTATGTAGATAAAGACTTACCAACTATTCGTAGTAACGATAACATTGCAGAAAATGTAAAGGGTGTGTATTCCGATTTAAAAAATGTCGGTATGCATATTGGGGAGCAAATAAAAAATGCTGCCGCAGAAATATCTGTAAATTTGGAAAAAGAAGCTTCTGACGCTAAGCATGACACTTCTAAAGAAGTTACAGAAATAGCAGAATCTGTTGTTTCCGCAGCTAAAAAAGAAAAAGACAAAAGTAAAGGTTTTTTGTCTGGTATTATCGATACTGTAAAACAAACATCTCAAGGTGTAGCTGATGAAGTAAAGGAGTTTTCTGATGACACGAAAAAAGAAACACTCGAAGAAGAAAAAAAATTTGTTAAAGAAGCTGAAGGAAAAATCGATGCTGCCAAAAATGAAGTTGCTGATGAAGTTAGCCAAGCATTATCTGACGTAAGAAGCAAGAGCAAGGACAAAATAAAAAGTAAAGCCACAGAAATATCTGAAGCTATTGAAAAAGAAGCTATGCTTGCAAGTAAGAAGCACAAGCCTTCCAAAGAAATCCAAAATGTGTCGGAGCCTACAACTTTGATGGTAAAAAAAGAAAAAGACAAAAGTAAAGGCTTTTTCTCCAGTATTTTTAAAGGTACTAAAGATGCATGTCGAGATTCAAATGATGAGTTCAAGGAGTCTGTCAATGAAGAGAAAAAAGAACCTCTTGAAAAAGAAAAAGCATCGCAAGATTTTACTGAAAAAGTTATCGATCACGTAAAAAATTTTAATGATGAGGCAGTCAGCCAAATTAGTCGTATCGACGCAGTCAAAGAAACTAAAAATTTACATCAAATTGACCCATCAAACACGAAGAATTTAACAGCTGTATTTCTCGAAGACTTACAGAGTACTGCCATGAACTCAGAAAATAATGTTCCCCTTTTAAAAACAAATATTACTGGTTCGAAGCCAATTGATGATCAGAACGGCGTCGAAGCTGAAGTAGCAAACGGAAAGCAAACGGATAAAAAGAAAGGGGCCTCAAAAAGTGGCATCATATCGGGAATTGTGAAGAAAACAAAAGGCGCCACACATAAAATAATTCAGGAAGTAGATCATGCTGCTGAAGGTTTAAAAGACGCGACTGAGAAATTTTGGACAGATACTAAAAGAGAATCAAATGAGGCCAGACGAACCGGTAGTTACGATGTCAACCCCAGTACAAGCAGTACTGATAACGTGAAGGATGACGTTATTTTGAAATCTAATCGTAAATTAAAATTGCCAATTTTGTCAAGTGATCTAGAGCTCGTCAATAATGATCAATCGAAGCATCAGCTTACAATCTCTAATTCAGCTCAAGAGCTTAGTCGTATTGATACGTGCTTGATTGAATCGAAATCGGTAACCGTTGTAAGGGTAGAAAACAATGTTTCTAGTAGCTCGTCACATTCTGATCCTCAAGCACATCAAATAGTTAGTACAGTTGTTACAAAATCTGTACGTAAGATAGTAACCCCGACACCCAGCCCTGCCGATTTCACTGACAGTAACCAACAAGGTATAACTTGAAATAATTGTGTTTCTAATATATATATTTATGCATAAGTGAACATTTATTTATATCCATTTGTATATGTGCGTACACATCTATTCCCATAGCCATACATGTTATTCATCGATAGAATTTAAGAACAATCTATAATCTTAAAACTCATTATTCCTTGTTCATTCGCACATTGAAATTTATAATAATAATTATTATTGTTATTATAGAAAAAGAACCTAAGGATTTGCAACA